ATTTCGACGAGTCAGAGCTGATCTAACAAAGCCTAGTGCCTGTGTGAAAATATAAAGTGGACAAGGAACTCTGATTTGAATTAAAGTCTATTTGTGTTTCTTAAAGAAATCACTATTCAGTCATGGTGAAAAGTACTGCTCGGCTACAATAATCTCAAAAAAATAAAAAGTTTAATTGGAAAAAAAAAAAGAAGAAGCACCACTCAGGAGTCAGCCACACTTAGAGTCAAAGTCACCTCCTTCAATTTTCGAGATAAGTGACCTTGGCCAAATTCCCTAACCTCCCCAAACTGGTTTTCCTCATCTGTAAAATAACCACAATAATAACTGCCTCATGGTCTGGTTGTAAATAATAAATGCAATTATATATGTACAGTGCTTCATGAGAATAACATTTACATAACACTTGCTATGTGTCAGTCACTGGCTTAAGCACTTGACTTATATTTATTCAATTTGGTATAGTCTTCATAACAATTTTTTGAAATAGCTACTATCATCAGCTTCATTTTACTGAGGAGGAAGCTGAGATTCAGAGAAGTTAAGTCACTTGCCCAAGATCACACAGGAGTAGCTGGTGGAGCTGGATTCCAGAGGCTATATATTTAGCCTTTATGGAATGCCTGCCTCTGAGTAAATACCTAATACTTCAGTTCAGTTTAGTCGCTCAGTCATGTCCAACTCTTTGTGACCCCAATGGACTGCAGCACGCCAGGCCTCCCTGTCTATCACCAACTCCCAGAGTTTGCTCAAATTCATGTCCGTTGAGTCGGTGATGCCATCCAACCATCTCAGCCTCTGTTGTCCCCTTCTCCTCCTGCCTTCAATCTTTCCCAGAATCAGGGTCTTTTCAAATGAGTCAGTTCTTTGCATCAGGTGGCCTAAGTATCGGAGTTTCAGCTTCAGCATCAGTCCTTCCAGGGAATATTCAGGACTAATTTCCCTTAGGATGGACTGGTTGGATCTCCTTACAGTCCAAGGGACTCTCGAGTCTTCTCCAACACCACAGTTCAAAAGCGTCAATTCTTTGGTGCTCAGTTTTCTTTATAGTCCAACTCTTACATCCATACATGACTACTGGAAAAACCATAGCTTTGACTAGATGGACCTTTGCTGGCAAAGTAATGTCTCTATTTTTTAATATGCTCTCTAGGTTGGTCATAACCTAATACTTACAATTGCATTAAAGAAAAAATAATCCCTTTTAATTTGACTCTTAATTTTTGTTTTTTATTTTAAGAGGACTTTGTACAACAAACTAAAACATAGCCTATCAATAGGAATGCTTTCAAAAATCATATGAATATGGTTGTTTCAGATTTAACCTAGTTTTAGCTAAGAATTACGTTTTTAATTACATAAATTACATTGATGATAGAATCATAGTAAGTTAATGTAAATGAAATTAAATAATGTTAGGGGCACAGAAGATGAGAGGTGTTTATCAAAAAGTCATAGAGGAATGGAGGGTTTGTTTACTGAATAGTGTACCTGTTTTGATTTTCAAATATACTGTACATAATATCCTATAGAGAGTTTTAAGTGAAAATGTACCTTTCATATAAAATATAATAAGATCTCAAAACATTCTTCTCCAAAGATATAACACCCATGTATTTTTTTCCAATCTTATGTTTAAGTTGTGTAAAAAGGTAATCACAGTATAGGGGAATTTTCACCATCTAATTCAAATTTTCTGTCTTCTCTCGAACACATATCTCACATTTATCTCACATATCCTACTTATTATTTTTCTTCATTCAATCCTGATGGCTCAGATGGTAAAGAATCTACCTGTAGTGTAAGAGACCTGGATTCGATCCCTGAGTATGGAAGATTCCCTTTGAGAAGGGAAAGGGAATGGCTATTCACTCCAGTATACTTGCATGGAGAACTCCATGGACAGAGGAACCTGGCAGGCTACAGTCCATGGGGTCCAAAGAGTCAGACATGACTAAGCGACTAACACTAAACTACTAACATTTACTAAGTACTCACTTTGGGTGACTCTGCCCTGAATGCTCAGGACACAGCTGTCCTTGAAGACACTCAGAGACAGGAAGGAAGGTAATTATAATAACGTGAGTGGTGTTTCCCCTGTAGTTCTTCAGCTCAGTAAGAAGACGAGTGAAGAAGGTCAAAGAGGACTGTGCTCAGATGAGCAGACACCAGTGGTATGCCAAAGGCCTGACCCTGGGCAGCGAGGTCAGTGTTAATGGGCGCAGCTTCCCAGGCTGTAAAGAGGAGCTACAAGAAAGATAAGGGGTGTGGAATGCCTGCCATGCCATGCCAAGGACTGAGATATTTTAAGGGTTTTAAACATAAGAATGTCTAAACATAATCAGATTTGTGTTTTAGGATTTTTATTGGAAGGAATTTTTTTTTATAATTGGAAGATAATTGCTTTGCAATGTTGTGTTAGTTTCTTCTGCACAACGATGTGAATCAGCTGTACGTACACATACACCCCCTCCCTCTCGGGCCTCCCTCCCCCCTTACTCCCCGTCCCACCTCTCTAGGTCACACAGAGCACTGAGTTGAGCTCCCTGTGCTATACGGCAGGTTCCCACTAGCTATCTGTTTTACACATGGTAGTGTATATACATCAATGCTATCTGGAGGCAAAGAAATAATTAAGGAGTCTAACAGCTTTGTGTCAGAAAAGAAAGTATAGAGGGCCTGAACAAAGACAGTCACCATGGAAACCAAGGGGAAGGAAAGAGGTGGGGGTTACCAACTGTGCTCGAACTCCCAGTCTTTCCTTTCTACTAATAAAATTGTTTCTCACATTTTTCTCCATCTCATATGAGCTAAAATTGTTATCAATTTATGCCAGACCTAATTTCATTGTCCCTAAAGTCTGATAGGAGCTGCTACTTACCAAGAAGGGCTCTGAAACACAGCGTTGAAGCAACTAGCTCAAGGTCACACAATCAGGCAGGAGCAGAGAGACAAGACCCAAACCAGCTTTGTCTGAATCTGCAGCTGATGCACCCACCCAGCCACGCACCCACCCACCCCCTTACCACTTCTATTCTCCTGTTTTTCACTCTCACTGACTGGCTTTTAACCTGAATCCATCCCTATCCTTTCTTAAAAGAATAACTCATCTGCTTACTAGTCTTTCCAACTACCGTGCAATCTATCGCTTCCCATGTCACGTTGGGCTTAAACCTCTGCAATGTTCACCTTCTCATCCTTTTTTCCCTTAAATTTCAGCGTTTGGTTTCTGTGCCATCTAAATATACTGACGCCAGGACTTCCCTGGGGGTCCAGTGGTTAAGACTTCGTGTTCCCACTGCAGGGTCATGGGTTTGATCCGTGGTTGGGGAACTAAGATCCCACAAGCCACAGGATGTGGCCAAAATATAAGTAAACATAAACAGTGATTAAAAAAAATTCATGATGAATAAAAATCAAATTTAAAAAGCAAATATACTGACACCAATTATTGTCCGGGAAATTTTAAAGTATTTCTTCATCCTTCTTTCCCTGTGCTTATCAGAGTACTTTGCATTAGTAATGACTCCTTTATTCCCTGAAACTCTTTTTCCATATGCTTTTCCAACACGTCCCCGTGCCACTCCAGCGGCTCCTTCTCTGGCTCTTATGTTAGTTCTTTCCTGATAAAGAAAAACATTTCCTTTCTTCTATGTTCTGTACGTGCTTCTAGAGGTTTGGGTTTTCCTTTGCTTCCTTTTAATTTTTTTAAAAAATCCTCTGCTATTCTCTCTCAATATAAAGACTTCTGTTTCAGTGGTGTGCTGACAACATATATTTCACACACCCTCCCCATACATGCCTGCATGCCAGTTACCTCATCTGCTGCCTCTTGGGAGGAACAAAGAAGTACGCAAAGGATTCATCCCTGTTGTGTGAGCTTTTTGCCTGACTTCTGTCTCCCCAAGTACTTAGATTTCTTTGATCATGAAAATAAATGCCAGGCAGGTATTCAGTTTACAGAACTAGAACTGAAGCCTGCAGACGATAACAGAAAGAGAGAAAGACAAAGTCAGTGGAATATCCCCAACTGAATGCATCTTAGTGCACAGCTCAAGCTCAAATTCCTGGAGGACCAGGAACCTCTGTCCCATACTTAACTGGAAGCCTCCAGAACTAGTATGACTCAATCAGCAAACATTCCATTGAACCTGCACCTCACCAGGCTGACAGCGAGGCTGGAAGCCCAGTGCAGTCAGTGATGACAGTTCTTGCTGGGCACTCTCAGGGTGACCCAGAATCGACGCTGATGTGAAACCTGAGCGTCAACAAGACTCCTAAAAGTTCCAGTCTTGAAAGACAGGATCCAGGGGTTTCTGTTAAGAGCCCAGTGCACTTTTCATTTCCAACCCCTTTACAGGTTTGTCCAAAGCACAATTCAGTAAGAAAACAAAAACAAAAACCTAAAAACAGTGTTAGTCACCTCTGCTCCCTCCGTCCCCACTTCGATGTCCTTGAGATAAGAATTTAAAAACTTAGATTGAGACAAAAGTGCAGTCCCTAAAATTGTGCTTTACTGTTTTTGGTTTTTGCTTTGTTTCTTCTTTTTCGATTTTTTTTGGAGGGTGGGGTGGGGGGAGGGGTTGGGGGAGGAATCCAAGCTCTTCAACCTCTCCTCTGCCCTCCTTTACGGGGTACTCTTCGGCGCACAGAGGGGATCTCTTGCTGGGGAATAACCTTTCTGTGTGCTCCTTAACCAGCCAGAGGGCGTCCAAGTCATCATCTCCCCAGCTAGCTTAGGTTACCAGCTCCGCAGAGGCAGAGCTGTTTATTTACCGCATGTCTCATGCCCTAGTGCAGGGGGAGGCTCCTAGGCTCGGCTACGAGTCAGGAAGGCAAAAATCGCCTGGACGGAGCGCTCAGGCCAGGTGACACAGTCCTGGGTGCCGGCTTGACTTGACAGCTTCATCCCCGCCCACTGGCAGGCGAGCGCGGCCCGGCCACACATGCGCGCGCGCAGGGTCCTTAAAAGCCGCGGCCGCGCCAAGACGCCGAGCTCGCCCACCGAGCGCAGGCGGCGACATGCACGTGAACGGCAAAGTGGCGCTGGTGACTGGCGCGGCCCAGGGCATCGGCCGGGCCTCCGCCGAGGCACTGCTGCTCAAGGGCGCCAAGGTAAGCGCGGCGAGGCGCACGGCCCACCCGAGACCCGCCCTCCAGCCGCGGCCCCCGGGAGTGAGCGACCAGGCTGCGTCCCCGGTGCTCTCCTTGCCGCCTCCAGAGCTGTCCAGGCTGGAGGACTCCAGCGGACTTCAAATGCGCCGGCAGAGAACCCGATCTGTAAACTGCCCGATCTCAGGTCCAAACGAGGAGGTTCCTGTTGTCTCTGCATTGTCGGTCTGTCTGTCTGTTTTATCATGCGCGAAGGATCTCGATTCCTCTCCTTTTGTCTGTAGGTAGCGCTGGTCGATTGGAATCTCGAAGCAGGTGTCAAGTGTAAAGCTGCCCTGGATGAGCAGTTTGAACCTCAGAAGACTCTGTTTATTCAGTGCGATGTGGCCGATCAGGAACAACTGAGAGGTAAGCGAGGGGGAAATCAATCCATTAGCGCAGAGCTCGCCTTGAGCAAGTAGCAACCTGAAGACAGCCTGCGCCAGAGAGCCAGCTTGGGGTGGCGGCAGGAAACCTCCTGCAAAGAAACTACCTCTGAGCTCCAAGAGATAGCCGACTGCTACGTTTCCTCTGACATCCCAATAGACATAAATTCCTCTGACATCCCAATAAACATAAAAAAACTAAGGAGGAAGAAAAGCCAAGCATGTTTGAGAAATCCTTTTCTTTTAGTCATTTGGCAGCACCTAATGTAATCAAAATTCCTTGGTGTATTCCAAGTAGTGCTGCTTCAGTAGTTATTAAATGATTGAACTTGCAAATGGAACTTAGAAAGATAAAATAGGCTAGGGGATTACTGCAGACTACTTCTCCCAGAAAGCTGGAGGACGGCAGAGTCCAATGGCAATCAAATGTGGCAATGTTTCTCCTTGGAACATGCTAGAATGCAAGGTCAAGGGTTGTCATCACAGCTGTGCTGGATGCTTTTGACCAGATGTTCTCCCTGATTTTTCCCCTATGAAATGCTTTAAAAACAGTAATAGTTGTATTGCAGAGTTAGAATTGCAGAAGAAAAGTTTCTATCAGACTTTCCTCAGTGCTTTCCTGTTTCTGTCTACTCGCTTAAGACAGACAGATCTACTTGACCAATCTAGAGACAGTATTGTTGTAGACAAAAAACAGATGTGGTCATTTAGAAGTCCAACAGATCTCTATGAAAAAATACATGTATTTCGAGGAAAAACGAGAAAATAGAACATTTGTATTTCACAAAGTTTTTTTATTGAAAGACTAAGTGAAAAAAGTTCTTAGGCACATCTTTAATTAACGGACCAAAAAACTTTCATGAAAGTCACTTTAATACTTTTCTTAACATGGATGAGTCTGTGTGTGTGTTTTTTTTTTTTTTTTTAATGTTGGAGTGTTCTGTGTTCTGTGAAAGAGCGAAAATGGAGTGGTATATTAGAAGGAAACATTGTTGTTCAGGGAAATTGTTTTAAAGGAAATTATGTAATTAAACTCTGAAAATTTTATAAAGACCCATAAGATGGATTATAAGTGTGAGCAGAAGAGACCTGTAAACACAGTGCCAGAGGAATGTATTTTGCCAGAGGATAAAGTTTTGCTGATTGCACAGGGTATTTTTCTTCAGGGGTAAAGTCATGTCAAATCCCAACAGCCATGCTGACAGAATAGCGAACAGTAGAGGTCATCTGAAAGCTATTTCTGTCTGAATTTATGTAGGTTTGCACATGACATTTAACCTTAATTGTTTTGCTTCCCAGTATTTAAAATTAATACCTTGGCTGTAAACACGTTCCTTAAAGATAACTGATTGTGGAGGAGGAAACCAGACACATAATGAGTGACCAGGAGAAGGCATGATGGTCAATGAGAAAGCCACATGTTTTCTAGACATCAGTGTTTATTTGCATTTTAGGAAAACTTGGCATTGGCTCTTCCAGTTTCAAGGTTTAGTGTGGGCTACAACTTTTAAAACTATGTAGACATGTGGCCCAAGAGATGTCATTGAAATGATAAAAACAGAGGTGAAAAAGTTCTTGGAGATGACCTACAGATGAAAAAAAAAGCAACAGTAAGAGTTTACGCAAATTATAAAGGGTACCGCGGCTTTTAAATGTCAGCAAAACCTAGACTATGAGTTGCTTGAGCCCAAAAGTGAGAAGCCATTAGTATTTGACAACCTAATTTCCTGTAAGGTGGTTGTGGAGTTCTGAAGAGTGTGCGTGTACCTGCTAAGTCGCTTAAGTCATGTCCGACTCTTTGTGACCCTGTGGACCCGCCAGGCTCCTCTGTCCATGGGATTCTCCAGGCAAGAATGTTGAAGTGTGCTGCCATGCCCTCCTCCCCTGGGTGGGGAAGATCCCACATCTTCCCCACCCAGGGATCGAACTCGCATCTCTTGTGCCTCCTGTATTTGCAGGCAGGTTCTTTACCACTAGCACCACCTGGGAAGCCCACTAGGTACTAGATGCACTAAAACAATCATAATGGATCTGAATACACAAGTGTTTAATGTGACACTTTCTGAAGATAATATGGCTTATTTTTAAAAGGATGTTTGTCATAGGCTAAACCACAGAACTTCAGTAACTTCTCAGGGACAGAGATGCTGGCTGCCCAAACTGACTTCCAAGAGCACTTAGCACAGGGTGTTCAGCTCTCTAAAATTTACTCCATTGAGATACTGCTTACAGAAATTTAATGTGCATACAAATTGTCTATGGATCTTACTAAGGTTAAGATTCTGATTCCGTAGGTCTGTGGTACCACTGATTCTGCATTTTTGACAGGTTCCCAGGTAATTCTGATTGATCCTGCTGACTCACAAACCACACTGAGAAGCAAGGCAATAAGCCACAGTCTAGGAGTGTAATTTTCACCAGAAGACTGCATAAGTTAAAATATCATTTCAGGGCATACACTGTGATAAATGTATCTGTGCAAAGTAAGAACAGATCTATAATGTCTTCTTTTTTTATTAGATACTTTTAGGAAAGTTGTAGATCACTTTGGAAGGCTGGATATCTTGGTCAATAATGCTGGAGTGAATAATGAGAAAAACTGGGAAAAAACTCTGCAGATTAATTTGGTAAGTTGTCTAAACCATGTTCATTCTCTACAATTACTTCATAAAAGGGTGTCTTAAAAGGAATAAAGGGTTTTTTTCATGGAAACAATATAATGACCTACAGTTTAGAAAAATGGAATTTACAAAAAGCTAGGGGAAAAAGCACTTCCTTTCACAAATAGGAAGACATTTGAGATTTTCAATTATGAAAATAAATCTGTCTTAAAATATTAAAAGGAAATAGAAAAAAACATCATTTATTGAGTAACTTAATAGTTGTCAAGCTATGATCTCCTGCCAAACTAGCCTGCCACCTGTTTTTATATGACCTGCAAGCTACAAATGGGCTTTACATGTTCTAATAGTTGAAAAAATAGTAAAAAAAAAAAAAAGAAAGAAGAAATGTATGAATATATGAAATTCAAATTTCAGTGTCTGTAAAGCTTTATTGGCACACAGCCAAGGTTTATTTACATGTCTCTGGCTACTTTTATTCTATAGCAATAGAGCTGAATAATTGTGACAGTGGCCCTATGATGCACAATGCCTAAAATGTTTACTATTTGAATTTTTTCAGAAAAATGTCTTTCCAATTTCTGCCTTATATTATTTATTTAAAAACTAAATTTAATTCCAGGACTACAATAGAAAACAAGGCTAAAGTGACCATTGGACTTTGTAATAATTAAGATTTTATTATTAATGTCAGTGTATGTGTACTCATGTGTGTGTGTCATGTCCACAATGTTTGATGATTATTTAATTCTTTCTTGAATTGTGAAAATGTAGATTAGGAAATAAAATTTGGTTTCTGCATTGTATTACAAGCTTACTGATTATCCCATTTTATAAACACATGACATAAACCATTGGGGTTTAGAAATACTCAAACTTTAGCTAAAGCCAGATGTCAGAGCTGGGCTGGGCATGGGGTCACCATGCCCTTGGTAATTTCTTTTATTTGGTAATCTTTTTTATTAGTCTTGCAAAGCAGGCATGTGTAAAGTGCAGAGGGGCCACGGTGTGTATATTAACACACAGGGAGTGCTGCCTACTTCACCATATTCAACTTCTTAAAAACAGGTACCATGTGATGTTTTTCTTTGTTCTTCTCTCAGTAATCAACACGATATCCTGAACATAGTGCTTAGTCAATAAATATTTGACTTGAATTGACATTCTCTGAGTAATGAGTTAACTGTAATAACTTGATAGAATTGGTGAGAATTACCCTAACTCACAAAAAAAGGTAATCTGTGAGCACTACTTTTTTTAAGGTACAGAGTTGCACCCCAAGCTTGACAGATACCTAAAATCCTTTGACTCAGATCAAAAGGTACTGTTTTAAAGTGCAAACACCCTCCTTCTAGTTCTATCTAAAATTTGTCTCAAGCGTTCCTGGGTATCATATTTCAAAATAACTTTCAAAAGTGTTTGTCAAGTGTCTCTCAAAATGTTTCTGATGTATGTGTGTATGGTTAGAGACCTCACAACTGCTGTTTCTGAGTTGAGACAATTCTTTGATTTTCTTCTACTTTACGCAAATAGTATAGTTAAGTAAAATGAAATATTTTCATTCTGTTAACCATAGTTACATCTCTTGGCTAAATCTTACTTTATCATGGTATATCAATGTCTAATACCATTGATTTTGCTTAGTTAAGACCTAATTTAATTTTATTTTTGTGTCTCTGTTATGAATGATAAGATCTTATCATTTTCTGAAAGTATTTGTTTGATTTGGCTTTCAGTTATTCCTTTGCTTACTTTATCTCCTTCATTTGTCTGTTTCTGAATAGAATGTAGTCATATCTCAAATGACAATTGTCAATTTGCCTATCTCTTTCAGTCATCCTGTCAGTTTTAATTCTGCATAAACGGCTTGTGATCATAATTTATCAACCATTGACTTTTTTTCCCATTAATTTTTATTGGTTGGAGGCTAATTACAATATTGTAGTGGTTTTTGCCATACATTGACATGAATCAGCCATGGATTTACATGTGTTCCCCGTCCCGATCCCCCCTCCCGCCTCCCTCTCCATCCCATCCTTCTGGGTCTTCCCAGTGCACCAGCCCTGAGCACTTGTCTCATGTATCCAACTTGGGCTGGTGATCTGTTTCACCCTTGATAGTATATTTGTTTCAATGCTGTTCTCTCAGAACATCCCACCCTCGCCTTCTCCCAGTCTAAAAGTCTGTTCTGTACATCTGTGTCTCTTTTTCTGTTTTGCATATAGGGTTATCATTACCATCTTTTTAAATTCCATATATATGTGTTAGTATACTGTATTGGTCTTTATCTTTCTGGCTTACTTCACTCTGTATAATAGGTTCCAGTTTCATCCATCTCATTAGAACTGATTCAAATGAATTCTTTTTAATGGCTGAGTAATATTCCATGGTGTATATGTACCACAGCTTCCTTATCCATTCGTCTGCTGATGGGCATCTAGGTTGCTTCCTTGTCCTTGCAATTATAAACAGTGCTGCAATGAACACTGGGGTGCACGTGTCTCTTTCAGATCTGGTTTCCTCGGTGTGTATGCCCAGGAGTGGTATTGCTGGGTCATATGACAGTTCTATTTCCAGTTTTTTAAGGAATCTCCACACTGTTCTCCATAGTGGCTGTACTAGTGTTGACTTTTTAAAGTTTTAACCCCATTGCAACCTGGGATTTTTTATTTATTTTCTATTTCCAGATATAAAATTGGCATCCATGTTTTCTTTTGATTCTCATTTACCTAGGCATACTTTTTTCTGTTTCTTTATTTTGAAAATGAAAATAACCTTTAATGTTAATTTTGTCTCTTGCTAACAGTATAATGTAAAATCTTATTTTTCAAATCACATCCTAGAACAAATGCTTTTTATATTTGTGAATTTAAGCCACTCATATTTATTTTTACTCTTCTGTTAGGATTTATTCCTTTTGCTTTAGTTCATACTTCATGTTCACCAAATTTTCTTTTTGTTTATGTTCTGTTTCCATTCTTATCTTAAATTCCATTGGATAGCCTTAATTTTCTTTGGCTGACAGGAAAATAGTACATTTTATGTGTACTCTTTGGTGGTTATCCCTGGCTGATTATGAACCATACTTCAGTATATCCTTTGGTTGCCAGGTTAAAAAAAAGGTTTTTTTGAACATGCAACCAATTGGAAACTTCAGGAATTTAAAGAAGATATATTTTTTATGAACTTATGCCACTCTCTGAAACCACATAAAGTGACCAAATTTTTTAAATTGAGCTATACTAATTTAAAAAAGCACACAACAACATTTCTTTCCCTTGTGTATCACTATTATTTTTAGTTTCATCAGTAAAACTCCAGATATTTTATAGATAGAGGTCCCTAGGATGTAAATTTCCCATGTTCAGTTCATTCATAATGGGCACCTACTGTGTCTTTTCTCTGAAAAATCAGCTGTCAGAAAACATATGTGTATGATGAGAGTTAATATAAAGAAACATGAAAATAGTGAAGAGATATCCCAGGGGGAATAGGATTAGATTCTAATGATCTGTTTTCATCCAGCAGAGAGGGCATGTTTGCTTTATTATAATAAATACACAGGTGAATAAACATCTGCTCCAAGCTGGGAAGTTCTTGCATTATCTGCAAATAGAGAATTCTGGAGGACGGGAATTTTATTTGTCCCCTTTGGTTATAGCTCACTCTCCAGGATTCTTCCTCATTGAAACTCAACTGGCCTTTACTTTTCTTTGAACTCTGCTGACAGAGGCCACTCCTTAGCTTAACTCCAGAGACTGATAGCATTTGTTTAATACAGAAAGAGAACAAGCTATAACCTTTGTCACCCATATATAACTTAAAAACAAGTTCCTTCACTCCTACCTACAATACTCTTTGCAAGAGTAGATTAGAGTCTGACTAATCATTGTCCTCCTAACTTGATTATCTCTGGTAGTAGAATGCAAATATTTGTGTGTGGTTTGTGTATAATATTTTTTTCAATTCTGCTCTGGATGTAATTTGCTTCCTTGTATTATACAATTCCATTTGTGGGCTTTTCCATGTTTTTCCATGTTCTTGTCCATGTCAGAGAGTCGTCAGTTAGTTAAAGAACCTCACCACATATCATTCCCTCTTCTGAAAACTTATACAACATAACTTATCCTCATAGGGCTTATCAGTTTTTGAAATTTTAGTAGTAATATTTTGATACATGTACAACTTATGCTAATATGCTGTAAGTTCTTTCAAGGCAGACATTTTGTTTTGCATGCTTAGTAGATGTTCAATTAAAATGTACACCATGGAATATTACTCAGCCATTAAAAAGAATTCATTTGAATCAGTTCTAATGAGATGGATGAAACTGGAACCCATTACACAGAGCGAAGTAAGCCAGAAAGATAAAGACCAATACAGTATACTAACACATATATATGGAATTTAGAAAGATGGTAACGATAATCTTATATGCAAAACAGAAAAAGAGACACAGATGTACAGAACAGATTTTGGGACTCTGTGGGAGAAGGCAAGAGTGGGATGTTCTGAGAGAACAGCATCGAAACATGTATATTATCTATAGTGAAACAGATCATCAGCCCAGGTTGGATGCATGAGACAAGTGCTCAGGGCTGGTGCACTAGGAAGACCCAGAGGAATCGGGTGAAGAGGGAGGTGGGAGGGGGGATCGGGATGGGGAATACATGTAACTCCATGGCTGATTCATGTCAATGTATGACAAAACCCACTACAATATTGTAAAATAATTAGCCTCCAACTAATAAAAATAAATGAAAAAAAAAATAAAAAAATAAAAGTACAATAAAATTTTAAAAAAGAAAGAAAAATAAACTGCTATCCTATGATATTTTGCAGACATGGATATTCATTTTAGTTTTTCAGCACAATGTTTGGATGGTTTCCTGTTACATCAGTGTTGCAAACAGTGTTGTCTATCCTTCCTCTTTTATTCCTTACCAAATTTATCCCTTCTTTATTCTTCGGACAGTGGTTCTCACCATGTGTCCCACATAAGAGCT